GGTTCATCCTGATATGCCGTTTTGCTGTATTTTTTCCCTGCAGACAGCAGTGTGTCACTCATGACATTCTCTGCACTTTCAATATCTGGGTGACAAAGACATCTGCATGACAAGACCTGAGCCGTATGAGCTGCTGATACTCTGCTGGCTACTCGCATACATCAAAATAATAGAAAATTAGCAATATTTGTTGTTTTTACAGGGCTTTTTGTGCATGTCTTTGCAGATTTTTCTGTAAAACAGCTGTTTCTGTGGATTGGTTGTTGGCTGGTCTCCTTGACAACCTCACTGTACTTTGAAGGCTATTTGATGTTGGCTGCTTTGCATATTCAAATAAGAGATGTGGCACGAGTGAATCACCTGTATGAAAACTCTTGTGATTCTGTATTCAGTAGCTAAACAGCTAAAATCTGTCATGTAAACTATAATTGTGGGGCTACACAATTGTTATAAATTTAATGTTTTTCTAAACATTCATTCAGTTTATTTTCGTCTTAGTCCCTTTATTGATCTGGGGTCGCCACAGCAGAATGAACCGCCAACTTATCCAGCATATGTTTTTCACAGCGGATCCATTCACACACATACACTATGGACAACTTAGCTTAACCAATTCACCTATAGCGCATGTTGTTGGACTTGTGGGGGAAACTGGAGCACGGTCACACCCAAACCTGAAGAGAACTTGCAAACTAAGAAAACAGTGCCGTACAGTCTACTGAAGACATCCATTAGCCTACTCTGGTCATTTGATGACATGCGCGAGTGTAAGAGTAAATAAAGAAGAAATTATTATTTTTTTAAGTTTTAATTTCTTTAAAGGTCCCCAGAAATAGCTTGATACAGACAGCAACAATAACATTAATTAAAGTACATGTACAATGCTGAATGACTGGTATTTTTTGTTTTGCACAGTTATAACAATCGATTTAAAATGAAAAACATGAGTTAGTTATTTTATTTTCAAGATCTGAGGTTAACTATCTGCTGTCGCTTTTAGTATGATGATAAATGTTACATAAAATGTTGTTAAAATTCAGCTAGCTCTCTGCAACTCTCACATGGTCGCCCACTTAAGCTAAGCTGTACCTAGATGGGAGACCACGTGGGAAAGCTAGGTTGTTGCCAAAAGTGGTAGTGAGGCCAGCAAGAGGCGCTCAGCCTGTTGTCTGTGTGGGTTCTAATGTCCCAGTATATTAATGGGGACTAAATACTGCTCATGTAACCCCGCTGGTCCTACGCCACCCAATTCGTTCCACATGGACACCTTCCACATGGGAGTTGGTTGCTCTACCAAGGAGGCTAAAGACCATGGCCTCTAGCATCTGTTGCTTGAGCACCTTTAGAGGTCAGAGTAGTGAGGTTTACCTGCACAGCACACACTAGCTGGCCTCCGTAAACTCACCTCCCTAAACCTCACTCCCATCCGGGTCACGGCACCAATGTAACCCCGCCGGTCCTACGCCACCCAACTCGCTCCGAGCTGGTATCGAACCTACGACCTTCCGCATGGGAGTCGGTTGCTCTACCAAGGAGGCTAAAGAGAGTGCCATCTTTCGAATAAGATGTTAAACCGATTTCCTTACTCTCTGTGGTCATTAAAAATCCCAGGATGTCCTTTGAAAAAGAGTAGGGATTTAACCCCGGCAAATGGGCCACATTTGTCCACTGGCCTCTGTCCATCATGGCCTCCATCATCATATAATAATTAGCTTAATCACTCTGTCTCCTCTCCACCAATCAGCTGGGGTGTGGTGTGCGGTCTGGTGCAATATGGCTGCCATCGCATCATCCAGTGGATGCTGTACACTGGCGCTGGATGAGGAGATTCCTCCCAATGTGTAAAGCGCGTTATGTGTCCAGAAGTTAGGCAGTTTGTTAAAAGAGTGTTTTATTTAGTGTCATGTTTAGGGGTGTGAAAAAGTAAAGTTGATGTTCTGAACAGAATGTACAATTTTAGCTTTTCTTCCATTGTCAAAGTGACAGGAGGCATGCTATGGAAAACTAGGGAATCCATACAATCACTGGCAAAGGTTCAGTAAGGTTTGTATAATAATCACATATCAAACAAGCTAAAAAAAATCATTTATTTTATTGCTGACTCTTCTAAGAAAACATTCATTCATTAATTTTCTTTTCGGCTTAGTCTCTTTATTAATCTGGGGTCGCCACAGCGGAAGGAACCGGCAACTTATCCAGCATATGTTTATTACACAGCGGATGCCCTTCCAGCTGCAACCCATCACTGGGAAACAACCATACACGCTCATTCACACACATACACTAAGGACAATTCAGCTTACCCAATTCACCTGTACCACGTCTTTGGACTTGAAGAAACCGAAGCACACGGAGGAAACCCATGCGAACGCGGGGAGAACATGCAAACTCCACACAGAAAAGCCAACTGACCCAGCCAAGGCTCGAACCTTGATGCTGTGAGGTGACAGCACTACCTACTGCACCACCGCGTCACCCTCTAAGAAAACATCTTTAAAATATTTTTGAAAATCAGTGTTTAGTTGGTTCTGATAATTGCTCATAGTCCCAGTTGAAAACTCCACAAATTTATTTTTTCCATCAGGGGTTTGACATAACAATAGCTTTATTTTTTTAAGACAAACCATTAAAGAAAGAGAAATCATCCACAATGCAGGCAATGAAATGACAACATTAAAAATCCCAGAGTGTTCTCCATTTAATGTGGCTTATGCATCAGATGTTTAGCCAGTGGTCGATGGGCATGATGCCTGAAGCTGCGACTGGTAGTTTTTTTAGCTCTGTTAACTTGTAATGTGTATTTATATAGCACATTTATCGTGTAATGGCCATACACCCTAAGCTCTTCACACCACCACCAGTGTGCAGCATCCATGATTCATCGGCAGCCACAGGACAACGGCACCAGTGCGCTCACTACACACCAGCTGTAGGTATAGTGGAGAGACAGTGATAGAGACAATTCAGTGGATGGGGATAATATGATAGTTAGGGCTGAGAAGAAATTTGGCCAAGACACCAGGGTTACACCCCTTCTCTTTAGGAGAAGTGTCATTGGATTTTTTTTAATGACCACAGAGATTCAGGACCTCGGTTTAACGTCTCATCCAAAAAACAGCACCCACTGACAGTATAGTGTCCCCTTCACTTTTACTGGGGCATTAGGGCTCACACAGAACACAGGTTGAGCACCCCCTGCTGGCTTCACTGACAAAACTTCCAACAGCAACCAAACTTTTCTATGTGGTCTCCCATCCAGGTACTGACCAAGCTCAGCCCTACTTAGCTTCAGTGAGTAGTCGTGGGCTGCAGGATGATATGGCTTGTCTTTGTGGTTTACCACAGTGTTGTTAGGTGCTCCATTCTCAGGCCGTTTACATTAAAACATTTCAGTTTTAAATCTCATAAGTTTTGCTACGGTTACGCCTTCCGTCCACATTACCCCAGAGTTTTCGAGCCTTGAAATATGAGCATTTTGAAAACGTTGAAGAGGCCGTTTTGGTTTTAAAACGCTGCTGCTTCGTGTCAGTGTGGATGGGGGAAAACAAAGACATCTGAAAATGGAGGCACGGCTGCTTGGGGCTTTTTCTCAAAATCAAGTAGACACAGTTTAGTCTTGCAAATTGTCCTTAAGTTCAGACTTCGCAAAATTGATATGGAAAACAAACTCCCGAGGACACGCTTGGTAAATCTACAAAGAGAACAGTGTGCTTTATAACCTCATTCACATCATCCTGGCTATCTTAACAACAAAAATAAAAATATGATATAAGGAACTGCCTATTTTCATTTTGATATTAACAACTTAAAAAAAAATAATTAAATATTTATATGACCGTCATCTTCACTGTATGCATATTTATAACAAAACGGAGCAAATGTGCAGAATCAGTGTACACAGTTACATAAATTAATATATTAACTTATCTTTACCTTCAAAACATGATACCTGAGAACAAGTAATATATTTAAAAGAGTCGTCAGACAGAGACAAGATGAATTAAATAATTTGTTTACCAACTATAGTGAGATTAGATCCAGCGGTTTTCCTTGATGAACTGTTTGACGTGCGCTGCTCTCACTTGGGGAGGTGTGCTCAAAGCTCATGACTGAGTGTGTGTGTGTGTGTGGTCATGTGATGTGTGTTTTTAGCGGTGTAGTATGGACAGATCTTTTTAGAAATGCTAGGCAAAACACCAGTGTCGATGTGGATCATTTCATTCTAAAAAGCTGTTTAAAAACAAAACGTATCAGTGTAAACAGGGCCTTGATCTATCATTGTGTGATGCTGCACTGTTTATGCAAATATATATATATATTTTTTTCCTCTGGCTTCCTCTTCTGCTTTATCAATAGTAATGATACTGATGCTCCTGTTGTAACTGCTGGTAAAACATGTTAATGTGTTTACTTTTGTAATTTAATTTTTCTTTGCATCATTGACTCTGATGTTTAGTAAAACACTGCAGGTTATTATTTGAACATGATGAAACACAGGGTGACCCATATCACACATAAGGCATTTGTAAACTAATATAGTATCATTTCATTCTTTATTTCATACAAGTTTACACTATTCAGTTGGCCCCTCACAAAAACATGTCAAACCTTTTCAGAAATACCTTCAAACTACTGTAGTCCCATGTTATGTAACTACAGTATACTTAATTTTATGTAACGGTAATTGATCATGAGTTCTGCCAAATTATTTTGCCACTGAATGGACAAATCAGTTAAATGTTCATTGTATGAGTTTTCATTAGTGAACATTCGAGTCATCTGTCAAGATCACTTTTACACATAGCAGGCCGGCCCCATTGACTTAAGCTGAACAATAGCATTCAGCGTTTTCCTACTGGGGGCTTTCCATTGAGCGTACAGCCACATCTCTTTTGATGTCTGGTACTTTCTCATTTCCCCTGTTTTTAGGTTCTAAGTGTGTTCGCTTGACTACACCTGAGTCATTTTGATTTTGATTGTGTGTTCTGTCCTTCCTGCAGCTCCAAGGGTTTGACCTCTGACCATACCCCAGTGGGACGGAAGCTTGGAGGTAACAGCTTGGCATTATGGGACGAGGTACAAGAAGTAGTGAAGAAAAAACTTGTGAGAATGTCAAGACACTGGCCTAAGGGGATTGCATAACACCGTGTCCATCGTCCTTCATTATTGCCAGAGTCATGAGTCAGTTGACAGGTTGATGAAAAGAACAACGTCAGCAGCCTTTGCACTAAATTTTAATTAAGAATGAACTCATATTCCTCTAGTGGAAAGACTCATTTTTTACTCGGCTTAAAGTTGTATCAGCAACTATGAGTGAGATAGACTTCAGCACTCCATCAGACACCACCTAGAATTCAGCCAAGAGACTGTGCTGATATTTTAAAAGGAAAAAGGCAACATTTCCCCACACAGCCTGGCCCTCCAGGACTAGTGTCATTGCTGATGTAATGCTTGTCATGGCCAGTGTCACTGCTGCGGAGGATTCGGCAAATGAAAGTACCACACCAATAGGAAATCCACTGCCATTAAAATCGTCTACAACCTCAACAAATGACCAAAGCCAAGGACGTGACAGCAATACCTGCCCTCCAGCAGTACCTCCGCCTCCACCTCCACCTCCTCCACCACCTCCCCAGGCACCAGGTAATTCTGGCCAACATGCGTCACGCAAGAAACGACGCGTACGGAGCTTCTTCTGGAAAACCATTCCAGAGGAGAAGGTTAGGGGGAAACCCAATATTTGGACTCTAGCGGTCAGACAACAGCAGTATCAGATTGATGTGAAGACAGTAGAAGAGCTTTTCGGCCAGCAGGAGGAAGTTCGAACTCAGACAAGCGGTGGGCATTCTCGTACTGGGAGATCCAGAGGTTCATTCAAGGAGAGCAAGGATGAGGTAAGGCAAACCTGAGAAAAACTGAATCATTGCCATAGTTGTTGGAGAGTGTCATTTATCTCTTCTCTACAACCTCAGCTATTTATCTAAATCTAATTCTGATCTAATTTAAATTCATTTTTTAAAGTTGACTGAACAGGACGATCTTTGATAAGAATAATATTGCCTAAGACTAAATTGTATCCAACATGCCATGTATAATAGATGCAACAGTATAGAAAGATAAATGACTACTTGCTTATATAATCACGCAGATATTAGCTGTAATTATACATCTTGTCAGAATGATTGTATACAAGACTCTCCATAAACATTCAGGGCTAAATTTCCCAAAAGCATACACCTAGGTAGATTGCAAAAAAATTATTGAACTGACCTTAATGTTATGAACTGTTTGCCAAAAGCACTGGAAAACTTGAAAAACTCTATAGCTCTATCAGTGCTTTGCACAGGGTTTCTGCAGATTTCATCAAGTTCCAAAACTTTTTAAGACTCTTTTAAGACCATAAAGAATTACATTTTAGACTTATACAGGTTTAAACATAAATGTTTTTTCCTACCAGTAGTTGTGAATTGCATTTGCAATAAACAACTGTAATATATATTTAAAAAAAAGGTTTTACTGCAGTGTATTGTTGGTGATTGGATGGATGTCAGCCCAATTGAGTAGCTTTACTATAGGACAAAGCCACACTAATACTTGTTCAAAATGATTTAAGGCCTACAACTCAATATTTCACTGAATTTAATACTTTTTAAGGCCTAAAATTTACTTTTTGATATTTAAGACATTTTGAAACCCAGCAAACACCCTGTCTAGAGTTGTTTTCCGAATAAAATTTAAAAAGTACACTATGTTATTAGCGCACATTATATCTTTTAAGGTTGACAATCAGTGCATTTTTATCTACTATAAAAAAGAAAAATGTTTTAGAAATGTTTTATGGACCCGATTCACAGTTCCAGCTTTCTCAGTAGCAGAAGTCATCATGGTTGGGTAAACTTAGAGCACAGTGACAGGGAGAGTAAAACAATTTTGACAATCTTATTTGCTTAAATAATAAAAGAAACATCGTACAATGGTGTTATCAAGACTTTCAGAAAATAAATGGTGTGAGAGTAATAATGGCAGCTAGAAGAGAGAAAAACGTCAAAATTACTATCCTGGCTATACACTCTCCATTTCAAACGCATCACACAAGCGGTCATTTGTTTTTGTTTTTTTTTGTAATTTGATGCAAAGATGATATAATACATACATAAATACATATAAATGTTCATATGTTTGAAACAAAAAATGGAAAGACTGGAATGACAGTCTTGACCTGATCACGACAGTTTGACTGCTTGGGTAAAATACGCCACTCTAACCGTTAGTTTGCTGCAAGTGAAAGATGAGGAGGAGCACAAAAACTTAACTACCTACTAAATATTTTTCTTTCAGTATGAAATACAGGACCTTTAACTTCAGTCAAAGGCTGTGGGATTATAATGAAGGATTGTTTTTATTGGCCTTTTTATTAATCTTTTTTTAACATTTATTAAAAACTTACATACTTTTTTAAATAGAACAGAAAATTTCTTCTGCACTTTTTTTAGTCAATTTGCCAGTGCCTCAGTTTATAGGTAGGTTCTTTATATAGTATCTCTTGATTGCTAGTTTATTCTTATATTTTTACAAATATATATATTTTTATTCCCATGGGGAAAGTTAAAAATTGCTAAACATCTTGTATGAGGCTAAATCTATTAGTTAGCATTACTTGATATTACTGTTGGTCATTTAACATCAAAATCAAAATTAAAAACATTAAAATTATGATTTAAATTAGACTGCAATCTGCTTCTGTGTACCAAAATACTGAATAAACCTTAATGTTGATCTCTTGAATAATTTTGACATTTTGACAAAGTGGGAGAGGGAGGTCATTTAGGTCATTTGTAATTATCAGAAATCGCATTGCATCTTCACTAAGTATACAATGTTTGTGATTATCGCTTTGTTTCCTCTGCTTTCTGAAGAGACGTAGTTCTTTCATCTTTTATTGTGGCCTTTGGAAGTCTGTGTAATTTGATCCAGTTAATCTGTGGAAAGGATATTAGGAAAATCACATGTTGAGCATTTGCTGTGTGCACTGCAATCACTCAGTGACTCGGCTCACTGATTATATAAGATCTGAGACTAAAATATCATAATCAACACTTCTAGAACATCAACATTGATATTTATCTTCTCAACACTTACAAAATCGAATACTGTAAGTGGAAGCTAACAGAAACTTTATATCACTGAACTCTTTGTTTCTTCTTGTTTACTCTTTTCTAAAATATCTGACACATCTGAAACATTTATTTAATATTTAACATGATTTTGTTAATTAGTTATTAGTATTTATGTAAAAAAAAGCTAATTGGGGTTTTAACAGACATAATTTTTTTGTATGTTTGCACAGACACTCAAACATATCTTGGTTTGAAAGATCCACCCCTCACTGACATAGGTTAAGAATTTGTCCCATAGCTTATTTGTCCTATTTTGACTGCTACTGTATGTCATAATAAATTGTGAAAATAACCTATCGGAAAAAGGTTTTAAGACCAAGTGGAATCCCGTGTCCTTGTTCTGAAGTCATGCCATGACAAATTCGTCGTCCCAAATTCTGACTGAGGAAAGTCAAATGGACTGGCCAGTTAGTTATTTGATATTTAATAAATGAGAATAGGCTACAGTTTAGAATCCTATTTTTTTTTCTATTGATGATCTAAAAACAGGGTTTCTGCAGATTTCTTCAAATTTAAGACCATTATGAATTATGACTACAGGGCTAAACATTAAGGAGTATTTGTAATGAGCCAACTACTTCTGTGAAAAGATTTTGTTTTTATGGAAGATTATGTAAAAGGATGTCTTGCTTTGGTTTTCTGTCCCTGATTAGAGAATTTAATTTGGAGAATTTGCTGTAAAAATGTCTTAGAGCTGTTGTGAATTGCATCTCTTTGCAATAAAAAAACTTTAAAAATAAAAAAAAAACTTTGAGATGGATTATAGATGATAGGGTGTTGGCCAGATTTTATAGCTTTACTTGGCCATAAGAAAATTAAGACTTGCTTAAAATGACCTACAACACAATATTTCAGTGAATTCAAGACTTTAAGGCCTAAAAGTTTGTTTTTGAAATTTAAGACATTTTAAGACCCTGAGGATACCCTGAATAAATGTGTATTTTCATATTTCTTTATTCTAAATCTTCAGGAATTATTTGTGGTACATTCAAAAGTGTTATGATAACCATCCGAGAAGCTAATCCAGCAAAAAAAATGTCCTTAAAATGTAACTAAAATGCAGTATTTAAACCTCATAATTAAACAGAAAATGAGGCGAATAACTGCAATAGATCCACTTTTTGAGGAAAAAAAAAAGAACCACCTCTTTCACCAGGCTGGCTACGGGCCTGATCATTTTTACAAATATACCCCTAATATACCCCTTTAACAGACATTTAACTGACTACAAGAAACTTTGCATGTACATGTCAACTTAAACTAACCCTAACCTCAACAGTCTCAGAATTAGTTGGCATGTACCTGCAATATAACTTAAATTCAACAAACGGACCATCAGTATAAAATGTGACCTAATTAATTATTTGATATTACAACACCTATTGCTTCTGGTATTGCTAATAATAAAGGTTCATGGTGTTTTAGGTGCTTAAAGTATATAATTTGGTTATACTTTTTTTGCATTTTTATAGCTGTGAATGCATACATGCAAAAATACATAATTTCAATATATTTGGTTTATATCCAGTGTAAGCATAAGGTACAATAACAAATTAAAAGTTAAATTATCAGATATATTCCAAACAAAGTTATTTTGCAAGATGTGAAAATGTTTGTGTGGCTGTAGATATGCTAAAATTTGATTAGACATCTCTTAAGCTTCTTTTTTTTTTTGTTTTTTGTTTTGACCGGCAGCTCAGTTTTTGCCCTGTGCATTGAACAAACATGTGACTAGGCATGCAACGATAACCGTTTTCAGAGTATACCGCGGTTTGGAAAAGTCAAGGTTTTAAAACTGCCAAAATGTTCTGTTTACATAAATTTTCAGGTACATGTAAGGTAACATTTTTTTTTTGTTTTTTTTAGGACAACAGCATCTCCAACAGAAAAGATCTTCAAAGATGCCATTTTAAATTGTAGTTTTTAAAATTTAAAATGTAGTTCAAAATAAAATATAGTGTGTTCAAAGGGGTAAAAGTTGTAGTTTTTTACCCAGGCATTTAAAAAGAATATATTTTAGAGCAGTAATCACAATAACGTGAAACTGTGATATTTTTATCCAAGGTTATCACACCGTCAGTCAGAATCATATATTTCATATAAGCCCATGCCTACATGTCACTATAACTAAAAGCATATGCACCTGAGAGCTTATCGTTTTGCATCTAAGTGGCCAGCTGTGTTTTTGCGTTGTTTTGTGTGGTTGTTGTCAGTCTGGGTAGCTTTGTAATTATCCTCGAAGCCAACAAGTGTACCTGTGCACATCTAATGAAGCTTCTGTATTGTCTGTCGGTAGTGGCGTGCACCATGTGTGTGGTCTCGTTTGTAATTTCAGACACCGCCCTGTTAGTCTTTTGAGTTTGTAATGCGTCACAAATTGCAGGTATCACACACATGGGACATGCAGATGTTTGTGCTAGAGAGAGAGTGACAGGCTTGGTGTATGCTTAGTTACTATTAAAATGAATGCGTCATGTTAGTTAGTAAATGATCTCATGGGTCAAAATGAGTCATCACACTGCTGAGGGTTTCCTGGTGCTGATGCTGTGTTTACCAGAAAAACACTTCTGTATTGTATATGGCAGATGAAAGAACAAGGTACTCAAGGATATACCCTATTAAATTATTACTATTTCAGCAGAAATAATATAATATTATTGTCTGGCTTTTGCTTTACTAAGTAGTTTTAAAAATAGCATACTTTTACTTGAGTACAGTTTGCTCTGTGTTTGTACTTTTACTGTGTGTGTGTGTGTTTTTTTTTTCATTTTATTTATTACTTTATTTGTTAATTGTTTTGTCTACAGCAATTGGCTAAGAAGAATAGTCCATTTCAAGTAAACGCATCAACCTTGTTTCTTTCGGCTTATTATAGGTGCACATATTAATGTAATGTGTTCTCATATTAAATTAATCTCACATTTAAACATATATTCTATGAATGGTAAATAATTGAACTTACATTTAGAAACACCCTTAAAAGCAAATGCCAATGATGTAAGCTACATTTTTCACTTGCATGCTATAAAGTGGAATAATTTTCAGAGAGTAAAACTCACTCCTTGAGTACTTTTAAAAGGGCTACATTTCACCCATGAGTAGTATTAAGAACATACAATCACCGGCCACTCTATTAGGTACATCTTACCGGGTTGGACACCTTTTTGCCTTTAGAGCTGCCTTAATCCAGTGATAGCATCATGCGGTTGCTGCAGATTTGTGCACATCCACGATCCCAACCTCCCATTTCACCACATCCCAAAGTTGCTTTTTTTTACACCTTGTCCAAATTAATTGTTTTCAAAATAGGCCTACATCATCTATGATTTGCTAAACAGACAACTAGGGTGGGCAACGCAGTGGCGCAGTAGGTAGTGCTGTCACCTCACAGCAAGAAGGTTGCTGGTTCGAGCCTCGGCTGGGTTGGTTGGCGTTTCTGTGTGGAGTTTCCATGTTCTCCCTGCGTTCGCGTGGGTTTCCTCTACATGCTCCGGTTTCCATAAAACATGTGCTGGATAAATTGCCGGTTCATTTCGCTGTGGCGACCCCGGATTAATAAAGGGACTAAGCCAAAAAGTAAATAAATGAACAACTAGGGTGAGTCATGTAATACTAGAACTATCTTGGTTCCCTTAGACAGCATAGAATCTTTTCTCCTAGCACCTGAAATGTTAAAAACACAAATAGTTGTCAAAATGCACATCTTGTGGACTATCTCACATAAAAATCATCAGATATCACTTATTGCAAGTAAACATAATGAGCTGAGAGCATAGGTGCTGGAAAGTTCTGAAGTGTTTTCCCTCAGCTTGTAGTAGGTTTTCGTCATTGTCCTGTAGTTGGGTATTTTGCAAATATGCCTATTCTTTAGCCAATAAAATTTTTTTTGCCTAAATAATATAAACCTGTACTTTTACGTCAATATGTATACAATAGCTGCTTTTATTTATTTATTTGTTTTAGTAAGTTGGCTAACTTTGACATAATCTATATAGATAATTATTATTCCATATGCAAATAAATGTTACATCTTTGTTCTTTAATTTGCACATTGTCAGTAAATAATCAGAAATTTCCACTACTATCAGCATTGTTTTGGAATTTGCTTCTCATGTAAATGTGCCCTGTTTATAAATATGGCCCAATATCAGCTTATTTGGTGCTCACCAAAATTCTATATACATTCATTAATTCAGTCAATCATTTTCTTTTTGGCTTAGTCCCGTTATTAATCTGGGGTCGCCACAGCGGAATGAACCACCAATGTATCCTTGACGTTTTACGCAGCGGATGCCCTTCCAGCCACAACTCATCTCTAGGAAACAATCATACAGACTCATACACTACGGACAGTTTAGCCTACCCAATTCACCTGTACCACATGTCTTTGGACTGTGGAGTAAACCGGAGCACCCGGAGGAAACCCACGCAAATCTCCACACAGAAACGCCAACTGACCCAGCCGAGGCTCGAACCAGCGATCTTCTTGCTGTGAGGAGACAGCACTACCTACTGTGCCACTACGTTGCCCTCTTTATTAAAAAGTTTGTTTGAAATCAACAAAACCTGCAAAATGTAAACACAATTTCTTTGCTGCTGTCTGCTTATTATTGTAATATTTTGTAATTAAATTCTACACTATTTTACTATAAAATCTGCTACCACCGCTTTTTAGGAAATTTTAGGAAAGATGAAATGTGGCAGCAAATACAATCTTTTCCTAATAAATAAATACATCAAAGTTACAGCTGAAATATGGGTCAGTGCCTTTAAAAACAGGACGCCGTTTCACTGGATGTCTACCTACAGTCTTCTTGCAACATCAAAAAGATACAGTAGTATTTATTTAGCTTTTCAGAAGTTGTATTCAAGTCAGCGCGCCGTAGAATTCTCAAGGTTCAAAATTTGAATGAGCACAACGCTGCTTAAAACACACACAAAAAACACAGTGTTGGTGGTGCTTTGCATATCTTTCCATCCTCATTAATTAATCTCTATTTTTCTGCTTTCCCAGATCAGCATCTTGGACTCCAAGAGAGGAATGAACATTGGAATTTTCCTCAAACAGTTTAAGAAGTAAGTTTCTTAAAGTCATCACGTGCAAGAATCGTCTGCATGCATGCGCTCTCTCACAGAAATAAGATCTGGTGGTCAAGGGAAACCCAAAGCTCTTGTGTAAAGATCAATAGCTTTCAGGTTGTGATTGATACTTGAGAGTTCACATGAGGATGAGTTAACTGTGAAAAGTACTGGATACGGATAAGCACATTGAATATTGTTGGTACTCAATAAATGGTGAACCAAGAAAAGAAGTATGTAACAAGAAAAGTTTATACACCGTCCTCACCTGTTGCAAGGTGAAATAGGCAGGTGAAGGTGGATGTGTCTTGTGTAAACAGGCTTTTTTGTTTATTTTTGAACAGGTATTTCCACATCCTCAAAGACAGCATGGCTATAAATGAACTCACAGAAAGATGGCGCTTTCATCTGTGATCAGTGTTACTGTATATCATGTTTTTATCTGTCTGGGATTTTATTGAGTGGTATGGTAACTTTCTCTACTGAGTCACTCGTGTCATAATTAATCCCTGACTTCCAGCATACATTTTTTAAGTGTTAAGACTTCAGTGAATACATTAGTTATTACAGCTTTTGGCTGTATTTTTAGATTTTCAAGGGATATTAATGTACAGTTGAAGCCAGAATTATTAAACCCCCTGAATTATTAGCCCCCCGTTTATTTTTTTCCCCAATTTCTGTTAAATGGAGAGAAAAATATTTTCCACATATTTCTAAATATAATAGTTTTAATAACTCATTTCCAATAACTGATTTATTTTATCTTTGCCATGATGACAGTAAATAATATTTTACTAGATATTTTTCAAGACACTTCTATACAGCTTAAAGTGGCATTGAAAGGCTTAACTAGGTTATTTAGGTTAACTAGGCAAGTTATAGACTATCGAAAAAATATACCTTAAATGGGCTAATATTTTTGACCTTAAAATGTTTTTTAAAAAATTAAAAACTGACTTTATTCTAGCCAAAATAAAACTAATAAGACTTTCTCTAGAGGAAAAAATATTATCAGACATAATGTGAAAATTTCTTTGCTCTGTTAAACATCCTTTGGGAATTGTCTTTAACTACTATGCAGAGCAGGGGTGTCAAACTCCCGCAACCCAGCAGTTTAGTTCCAGCCCTGCTTCAACACACCTATCTGTATCAAGCAAGCCTAAAGCACTTAATTAGTTTGATCAGGTGTGTTTAATTATAGTTGGAACTAAACTGTGCAGAGCTGCAGCCCTCCAGGAACTGAGTTTGACATCTGTAATGTAGAGTAAGATGATCTCCCTGCACACGCCCCTATAATGTTTCCATTGACCATTAGATTTGACCACACACCATCTTTTTTGTTAGTGAAAATTATTTAAGTTTTACAGCTAAAATGTATTATTTGTTTTGGATTTAGTTTGAGGGGAAAAAAATCTGAAAACAGGATGTGTGTCAGTGTAATAGATCTGTCCAGCATAATACTCCAGTTTCTCTCATTTTTAGGCAAACAACAAAAGATAAAAAATCAGAGAGCTTTGTAACTTTAAAAATAAAGGTTTGTTTAATTTGTACCGCAAATACTACGCAGCACAAGTAACTGTATGTGACTCTGGACAACAAAAGCAGTTAATTCTTGGAGATTGAAATCATCTGAAAACTAATTGAATAAGCTTTTTTATTAATGTTTGTTTAGTTAGGATATTATTTGGTCAAGGTTTAAAATCTAAATATGAACAAAATAGCCTTTAAAGTTGTCTAAAAAGTTCTTAATGCTTATTTCTGGAAAACCACAACAACTCAAAAACATTTGATACATTTACTTTTATTTGTAATTACGTATAAATATATTTATGGAGGATCATCTTTATTTAATAATTTTGGCCCAGTTTTGATACAAATACACCCATCAAACCTAAGTGAAATAAAAATACTATATGCATTTTAGCATAATACTATTATAATTTAATACTGTTATAATATAACAGGTGACAGGGTGCTGCTGGGGTAGCGCTGTCACCTCACATCGAGAAGGTCGATGGTTCGCGCCTCGGCTGGATCATTTGGCATTTCTGTGTCGAGTTTGCATGTTCTCCCCATGTTCGTGTGGGTTTTCCCCACAGTCCAAAGACATGAACAATACAAATTGGCCATAGTGTATGTGTGTGAATAAGAGTGTATGAGTGTTTCCCAGTGATGGGTTGCAGCTGGAGGGGCATCCGCCACGTAAAACATATGCTGGATAAATTGGTGGTTTATTCCTCTGTGGAGACCCCAGATTAATACAGGGACTATGCCAAAAAGAAAATGAATGAATAAACAATGCTATTGTGATATTTTGTAATGCAAGATTGTGGTCAGATTACCCACCCCAGCTAAATATGAAATGTTTTATGGCTTCATGGGCATTTAGTAATTTGAGTAATTTGATGACACTGTAATTTATTTAGATACCATTTATAATATACAGTATTGATGAACTATGATTTACAGTGCATTATTTGGTCATTTTTCATGATCCATATACCAAGTAATTGGAATAATTAAGTTTAAACTTACACATCCTTTTAACGAAGACATGCGTCTTTACGTAACAAATAACACATAACACGTAGCACACCATAAGGATACACATTACTGTATCCCAGCCTCAAAAGTAGAAAATACAAACTTCACAGTAGTGTCTTGCAGAACAACATGTACAGAATTTGTAGCTGTATTGCAAAAAAAGTTTAATTTATAATAATTACACAGCAATTAAGGCAACCAATCCAACCTTAAATGCCTACATTGTATAAGTCAACAGTCTTAAACTGGATTCCTGAACTCTCCACCTTTTTCTCCAACCCAAATTAAACACACTACTAGATACAACTAATCCTAATCAAGTTGTTCAAGATTACTTGAGACTATCAAGCAGGTTTGAGTTGGAGGTGTTTGAAGCTAAACTATGCAGAGCTGTGGCCCTCCATAAATCGAGTTTATGACCTATGGTATTTGTATATACTGTACATAAATATCAACGTCTGTGTATAGTTAAAGCTTTGTATTAACGCTTTTTTTTGGAGCAAACACTGGAATATACTACAATGTAATCCAATGAACATCTTGGTTGCATTTCATGAGCCAAGAATTGATTTTCTGTTGCGTATTTTTCCCTCAGGTCCAATCATGCAATAGTAGAGGACATCCGTCTGTTCAACAGTAAGCAATATGGAGCTGAGCCGCTGAAAGAACTGCTCAAACTACTACCAGAAGCAGATGAGGTGAGACTCGAAACCTTACCTGTATGCCATATTTGCGTAGTTACGTTTACTCTACCACTATAACCTTGATCCAATCACTACAATGTGTAAACAAGAAACTGTGTGCATTAAAAACAAATGAATTCAATCCTTAAACCAGATTTGCGATAGTCAGAGATTCATATTATTTCCAGTGTAATTGCTGCATTATTGTTGTTATTATCTAAATGTGTCCCAGACAACATCTAGGCCACTCAACAATTAATAACTACATCATGTAGGGTTTTGAACAACATGTATATAGTTACAAATCAGTATGTGTGTGCATGTCTGTGCAGTATACAGTATTCATCATATTGTGAGAACCAAATGTCTCCACAAGTGTAGTAATACCAGTAAATTTTGAGCTTGTAGAGAGTCACTTTTTGGTTCCTATTAGTAAATTTATTCCTAAATTAGACAGAATGAAGAATTTTGCAAATGTTAAGATGTAGATTGTTTCCTGTAAGAGTTGCATTTAGGAGTAGGGGGATAGATTAAAGTGATTATACAGTATAAAAAGTATCAAATCTATGGGAAGCCCCTATAAAGATAGCTTTACAACTGTGTTTAGCTTTATTTCTTTAAGTCAATTTTACTACTTTAATCTTTTTTTTTAGTAATTTAGTTGATTTTCCACAAAATGCAAATCAAAAAGACAAAAACATTAAAAGACATCTATTCATTTGTTGCATAAGTGAAAGAACAAGCACATCTATTTCCAACAAGTACAGAGACGATTTTATCCATGGAATATAAACAGCACAATAATGTCAATCCCAGTGTCCATATAATTTAGAAAAAATTCCTATACCTTGCAGAAAAGATCTGTTTTACAATGAATTATACAAAGTATTCCAGTGATAATGGCTCCATTAAAACTTTAGCCAGCCCTTCATTTTGTGTTGAAAAAGTCATGACATTTAAGAACCTACGGGTAATCACAGGAGTGCTATCAGGTAATCCTGCAGTATTAACAACAAAATCCAAATTCAAAATCTTTTGCATTTCACAAAGTTTTTTACAGCAGTAATCCTGTATAATCCGGTATGACCATAAATAGTGAGAGTGAAATTTCAGTTTTACATTTAAAAAAGGGCAAAAGAAAATGTTAGAATTATGTCTGCTATTATAGGGATATACACTTACCGGCCACTTTATTAGGTACACTAAAGTAGTACCGGGCTTGACCCCTTTTTGCCTTAATCCTTTGTGGCATAGATTTAACAAGGTACTGGAAAATTCCTCAGAGATTTTGGTCCATATAGACATGATAGAATCACGCAGTTGCTGTAGATTCATCGACTGCACATCCATAATGCGAATGTCCACCACATCCCAAAGATACTTTGGATTTTACTAAAGTAAAATCATTGTCATGTTCAAGAAACTAGTCTGAGATGATTTGCGCTTTGACATGACCCGTTATTCTGCTAGCAGTAGCCATCAGAGAATGGGTACACTGTGGTCATAAGGGACTGGCATGGTTAGCTACAATACTCAAGAAGGCTGTGGTGTTGACACGATGCTCAATTAGTTTTAATGAAAAAGAAAATATCCCCCACATTACGGTATTGTGATTACTGCTCTAATATATATATATATATTTAAATGTCTGGGTAAAAATCAAAACCTTTTCCCCTTTGAAAACAATATTTTTTTTATTTTTTGAAAGATTTTTAATATTTCGGAACAGTAAACATGTCAGGCTAAATAATTCATTTGAATCATTGACTTCTGCTGTCCACAGGTTTCTTTACAATTTAAAAACTTCATCTTTGGATACCTTTTCTGCTGGAGATACTGTTGTCTTAAAAAAAAAAGTAAATAAAAAAAATCTTACACATCCCGTAGGAACAGTATTACAGAAATTTTCGGTGGTTATAAAACCTTGACTTTTCCAAACCTGCGGTACACCTTAAAAGGAATTCACAATATACCATATTAATTACATTTCATATGTTTATAATAACTAGGTCTTATACTTGCCATTATCTATAATCTTTAATTTAAGTATGTGTCTTTAATCAGAAAAAGAGATTGTGTTGAGATATAAATAATAATACTGTGGCCAATAAAGAGAAGGCAAAAATCATGTATGGCAGATAATCGATAAATGGCAAACATTTCTTTATTATATGCACGTATGTTATTTTCAGCTCTGAACTTGGAGACCCACTGCTCTGCACATGTTGTATATCTTTCTTTAACACACATGATGCCCAGTATAGATTTATTTGTGTTTAACAATCTTATTATCATTGCTTTAAAGATTAACTTTTCAAGACAGCAAAGGTAATCTATATTATAAAAAAGAATGACTTGCATGTAGAATGAACAAAAATCTACTGTACGTGCAAATGTTTTGTATTTTGTTGTTACTTAAATGTGGCTTTAAAAAATTCACATTATTTAACTAGGTGAAGAGATTGAGAGAATTCAAAGGAGACGCAAATAAGCTGACACTGGTTGATTCCTTCATGTTCCAGCTCATTCAAGTACCACGGTAGGAGATCTCCCTTCTATCAATTAAAATACTAATCTAGTGTTTTCCAATCCTGTTTCTGGAGGCACACCAGCAGTACATGTTTTAGCTGTCTTCCTTATCTGAACCATTCATTTTAGGTTTTAGAGTCTCTTCTGATGTTCTGATGATTTGATTCAGGTGTGCTTGAATAGGAAGAGGTTGAAAATGTGTACTGTTAGTGTGCCTTCAAGAACAGGGTTGGAAAACACTGTCCTGATCTATCATTGATATCTAAATCTTCATAAAACTTAGGATTTTGTGTTCAATTTTACAGCTTTGATGTGCGTATCGAGGTCATGGTACTTCAAGAAGAGTTTTTCCCATTATGTACTGCCATGAGTCGTGACATCAACATTGTGCGCCAGGCAACTGAAGGTATAAACATACTAGGCATATTACCAAGTTATCTCAAGGTCACCAGCTATCCACCCTATATAATCTGATGCACCATTGACCATTTTCAAAAGATTCGCTGTGATGTGTGGGCCAATAAACAGTAGATTGAAGTTTCAGCAGGACTGAGTTGAGTGCGTTTTGCTGAGTCATTTTCTATCACTCAGCTGTGCCTGTATTAGCCTTCTCTAAGAAACCAATGGCTCATGACCTTTTAGTCCTGACAGTACTGAAATACACTCCTATTAATCTTTGCCCTGGTGTAAGAACTAAATTGAGTTTTGTTAATTCTGCAGTAACTATTTCTAGCAGCCTTTCAAGAAGTACCCAATGTTATATTGTCAGCACTTTTTTCTCCTTTAAAAAAGACATTAAGCATTAGTTTTCCTTTTAATTTCTTCGGCTTTACAATGGGAAGGATAGTAATAGCATTTGGAGCATTGTGTAATTTACCAAATGGCCTGTGATTGTTATGTTTCCACTGATTATTCTACAGATCTAATGAATTGTGAAGAGCTCCATGCCATTTTACATTTGGTTCTCCAAGCGGGAAATATCATGAACGCAGTAAGTCTCTTTGTCTACCCAGCTTTTTCTCAGTTTATTGTAATTGCAGAGTTCCCTAAACTTTTTGCTTCATCTGCTTTTTTTGAACATAACATATATATACATATATATACATATATATATATATACTTTTAATAACAAATTTCTAACAACTAATTTATTTTATCTTTGCCATGATAACAGTAAATAATATTTGACTAGATATTTTTCCAGGCACTTCTATACAGCTTAAAAGTGATATTTAAGGCTTAACTAGGTTAATCAGGCAGGTTAGTGTAATAAGGCAAGTCATTGTATAACAATGGTTTGTTTTGTAGACTATCGAAAACACACACACACACACACACACACACACACACACACATATGTGTGTGTATGTATATATATATATAATAATTATGTCTTTAAAATGGTTTCTAAAATATTTAAAACTGCTTTTATTTTAGCCAAAATAAAACAAATACTTTCTCCAGAAGAAAAAATATCAGACATACTCTGGAAATATCCTTTCTCTGTTTACTTAATTTAAGAAATATTTAAAAAAGAAAAACAAAATTTGAAGGGGGGGCTAATAATTCTGACTTCAACTGTGTGTATACATACAGACAGACAAACACACACACACACAAACACACACATATATATATGTGTGTTTGTGTGTGTGTGTGTGTGTGTGTGTGTGTGTGTGTGTGTGTGTGTGTGTGTGTGTGTGTGTGTGTGTTTTTATGTTTGTATGTATGCATGCATATCTTTTCAATCTGTCTTTTCAACGACTGTACTCCTCATTTTTAAATCAACAAGTGTTGGTGGTTTTTATTGCATTGACCAGGCATTGACTGATCTTCTCTGTGTTTTCACAGGGTGGCTATGCAGGAAACGCTGTAGGCTTCAAATTGTCCTCTCTTCTCTCTCTGGCTGACACAAAGGCCAACAAGCCTGGCATGAACCTGCTCCATTTTGTGGCATTAGTGAGTTGTACTGTACACAACCAGTAGCAGAGTTTTCTTCATTTTCAAATACATATTTTTGGTTTTAGGAAATACACTGTAGTAGAAGTAGCAATAGTAATGGCAACATTTTGTTTTAGCTGCTTTGACTTTGATTTGTCTTGATTTTTCTTACGAAGGAAGCACAGAAAAAGGATGAGGCACTTTTAAAGTTCCCAGAGAAGCTAACACATATTCAGAGTGCAGCCAGGTAACGTCAGTGTTAATTTTGCAAAACTAATAATTTTCTCCTATTAATATTCAATTAATCTTCTATAAACCTTTACAAAATATTACATATCTTGTTGCACAAGACTACAGCAATATCAAAACAAAGTCTATTACTTCTAGTGCTAACATTTTATATAATCATTATTCTTTCTGTAAACCCTTACTTTGTCTTACTCTTATATAGAATTTCAGTAGAAAATATAGAAGGAGAGTTTTCCTCACTCTATGTGAAAACACGGTCTTTGGAACAGAAGATTCAAGATGACGATGAGCTGCAAAAGCAGCTAGATCCATTTTTGCAGGTAAAATAAAGAACAATTTCCCCAAATAGATTTTCATAGTTGATTTATTTTGTTATTTAGTATTGTTTGTATTTCTGTTGTCTTTCTGTTTTAATCTCATTTGCTATAATGAACCACTAATAAAAATGGCTCACCTGCATTTCTCTTGTTTGCTAGAGCTCTGCAAAAGCCTTGCAGGACCTTAAGCACCGCAGGCTGGACTTGCGCAAAGAGGGTAATGCCCTCATTGACTTCTTCTGTGAAGACAAAGACACCTTCAAATTGGATGAGTGCTTCAGAATCTTCCAAGATTTCTGTCTAAAGTTCAAAAAAGCTGTGAAGGTATACACACATTAACTAAAAAAGTCTACCTGTCTATCCATTGTGGCATTTATGCATCATGATAGAGATTATATATTTCTGAACACACACTTTAATAGCAATTTATTGTAATTGCAGGACAACTCGGACAGAGAACTGAAAGAGGAAGCTAGACAGCGCCGCTTACGGGAACTAGAGGAGAGACGGTGTGCCTGGGGTGCAGCCAATATTGAAACAGGTGGTAATGGAGGTTTTGGTCGCAGCAGCAGTGAAAATGATGTTGACATCTTAACCAAAGATGGCCTCCTAGACTTCCTGCTTCAATCAAGACCTCAAAGCCCCCACAGTCCTTTAGGACGCTCAGCTAGTGCTCGCCGCTACCACCACACATCTAGTGACCGCAGCCTCCGTGGCTATATGGAGCTGGTCTCTGGGTCTTCAGCAAGTGAATACGCCAAATTCAGCAGCCTGCCACGTTCAAGCAGGAACCATCAAAGAAAGACCATGCCATGGCTTGTCTTGCAGGATGATAATAGAGAGCTAGATCCACAAAGTCAGGTTTACCAAGAGAAGCTAGCAGCTTCACCAACGGCTGAGACTGAACCAATCAGTCCTTTGGCAAGATACTCAAATTTAGGCTACAACTTGAACAGTGATCCCTATAGTAATAATAATAACAACTATAGTTCTCTTTCTGAAGGTGGTCTTACACCTCGATTAAATAAAACAAAGAATGTCTTTCAGGGGACATCTGGTCAAGGCATTGGACACATGAATGTTTCTGTTGAGAAACGCAAACTAGTGCCTGGGCTTCAACCCTTTGAGATAACCAGCCAGATCAATAATAACAGTCATGTTTCTTTGGACAATCAACATGAAGTGTGTGTGACTGATCTGGAACGAGAAGACCTTCCCAAAGCTTTTGTTCTTGATACACCACCATCTAGTAGGAGTTCTGAGGAGGGGCATAAGCTAGAAAAAGTATGGAATGACAAAATAATCTCATCACAGAGAGACGAAGCAGACACAAGTACCTTCTCTTCAACATCTTGTGACACCCCATTGCCCCTTGATCCCTCCAGTAAGAAACCTGTGTTTTATGTCATGGACTGCACTGAAACGGATTGTTCCATTGTGTTGGACTGTTCTGAGATTGAGAGTTCTCCTATTATAAAAGAAGGACCTGGACTTATCCCAAAGTTACAGGATGTCAACTTTCCAAGAATCATTCAAGACACCAATTCTCTTTCATCCAATTTTGAGTCTTCAGACTGTCACTTTGTGTCCACATCAAGTGATGAACCAATTGTAGGAAGGGTCGATCAAACTTCAGAATCAGTCAGTCCATCTGTAACAACTGAAGAAGCAGAGACAGACAGCTGTGATACAGCTGAAGGGCAAAGAGTTGATGAGAAAAGTGTTCAGACAGGTAGCCCCAAAACGACACTTATCAAAACCAAGACTTCATCCAAAGGGATGACTGCTCACACCAGCCGTCCTACAAGAACCCTCACAGCTACTGAGACTCAGAACATGCGAAAAGTAGTGCCCATTACAAGGCAAAATCGATCTAGTAGCAGCATGAGAAAGGTTGATAAACCACCTGTACATGAGAGCTCTGAACCCAGACGTCCATTTCGAGACCAAAGCATGCCAGCCAGAAGAGGCGAGAGACAAGGTAGACCTACAAGACATTCAAGCCTTCCACCAGAGGATCCTAGGACACCAAGAGGTTCGACACCAAGCAGCTCTCGTTGGGGAAGGGACTCAATTCAACACAGGCCCTCCATCAAGAAAGCCAATGCCAAACCTGTTCGTAACATTCCTAAACCAGCACCAGAGGAAAAGATGTGTCGCTCTACAATGCGTGCCTTGGCTCAAGCTCAGGCTCAAGGAACCTCAGAAGGAGGTACCGCTGACAGCCCTAACACCACCCCAAAAAGTTCTTCACCTTTGCCTAGCTTTGCTCGCAACACTGTGGCATCTACTTCTAGATCTAAAAAAGACATGCCATCAGCAACTGTAACCGGAACACCATCAAAGAGCCTATCGAGAACTAGCTCTCAGAGATTGCCTGGTGGTAGAACAGAGTCTGTCAGTAGCGGGCCTTTACCAAGGAGTGAGGATAAACTAGGAGGCTCGATTAGGAGGGTTCAAAGTGTAAGAGCTTCCAGTCGAAGCAGTGACACACCTTCACAATCTGGTCGGGATCACTCCCTTAAAAGTAGCAGTTTCTCAGACAGATCCACACCAACTAGAGACACCATCATCTCCAGCAGGACCAGCAAACCCACATGGAAATAGGGCGGACTTGTTAAATAGTGGTTCTAAAAACAATGTTCAACAAGGAAAATCATTTTTTTTCTGCACATACTTAAGAGGCACAAATGCCTTTTAAATTATTCTGAATGTATCTACAGCCTTTGTAGCTGAATTTGTGTTGCTAGATGCTCAGCAAGACTTTCAAGAATTCCATGAGCTACTGTCACCATTTGACAGCACATTTAATAGCACTTCCACATCCACGAGAGGATGGTTTTGATGGCCTTTTCTTACATATACTTGACACGTTTTCATCTGTCACAGAAAACACATCAATCACAAATTGTACTTGGTGTTAGATTAAACATGTTTTATATTCTATATTAATACTAAGACCTTGTTGAGATGTTCTCACAAATTGCTGAGAGCAAATAAAATAGAAAACAATGTCAAATATATACACACATATGCTTGCTCTATTTTATATATGTAGTAAAAGTAATTGTAGTACTGTTTACTAGGGTAACATTTCAATTCAAACTACTTAATGAACACACAAAGATTCATCTAAATGTTCACAGTGCATGATGACAAATCAACCTGAAGACTGTTTGATCTTACATGTCTATGAATGTTCTCCAAATACACCTTAGTGTAGCTGATGCAATGAGTACTACAGCTAGTAGTTCGAAGATGCCTCTCCAGTGATGGTTTTTAAAATGCTCAAAATACTTTGCCGAGTTGCTTGTTTTCAATTTGCCTTTTCATGCAGGGTACAAGCGCTGTACACTGTCTTGCTGCTGATGACACTGTATTTTGTGACTTCTCTGTGAACATGCTGTACTGCTAGCTCTTTATTTTTAAAGCCATATGGTCAACCAGGAGTGGCAAAACCTGGTGCTAGAGACTGTGAAGTTTCAGTTTGGCCTGAGAAAGCTCAAACAACATATGCATCAAATGTTCTCACAGTATCTGCTTAATATTAATTTGACAGGTAGTCAAATAAAAGTATGTTTACATACAAAAGTATGTGTTGCTTTACACCTAGCAAAATCAGTGTTAGAATTAGCGATAACATTTTACAATATGGTTCAAAAAACGAATACTCAACGGAATTTAATATTAATATTTTTATTGATCTGTCTTATCTGTCTGTGTGTGTTTTGCATGTGTCTGTATTCAAAATGTCTCCACAATTACTATATAGCAATACCAGTAAGTTTTGACATTGTGAAGACATTTTTGGTCCCCATGATGAAAACAGCTCATTAATTATACAAAAATGATATTTTGAAAATGTAAAAGATTGCAGATTGTTTCCTGTGAGGGTTTGGTTTAGGGTTAGCATTACGTCTTCAGGAGGTCTTCATAAAAATAGCTGTAAAAGTGTGGGCAGACCTTGTATTCCTTATGTTGTGTTGTGTGTATGCGAGTTTCCCTAATGTTAAAATTATGTAAATGTAAAAAAATTAAAGGGATGGTTCACCTGAAACTGTAATTTACCATTTATCAGTTTCTTTTTTTAAGGTACTTTGAAGAATATTGGAAAAAAAATAAAAATAAAAAATTCTATGGAAGTCATTGGCTACTGGTTTTCCAACATCCAAAATAATTTATTTTGTTTTGTTGGTATTTCTATTTTTGTATGAACCATTTCTTTAATTTATTATGAATAAATAAGAACAAAAGGACATTTATAAACTAACATGAACCCACTGTAGATTAATACATATTATGAACATTGTTTTTCACTACTAGCATCTAATATCATAATTAGTTAACTAAACTGTGTTAACAAATCGAACCAAACTGTAAAGTGTTATCGGTCATGCATAATGACAGTGGTTAAAGCTGTTCAATATGACCCAGACACCACGCAAAGTAAAGCTTTTTTGACATTTATCTTTAAGCTGTGTCTACTCCCTCCATGTGGGTGCTGAATATGATCACAATAAATAGGTTATGTGAAAGAATTATAGATGAAAGATAAACGCTAATAGAGAGTTGTCAGCTAATGGTGAAATCAATTCTGATTTTAAATGATGACAACTTAAAACAGCCTAAAATCCAAATTTCTACCTCTAGAATCACATTTGCCACCTCTGGTTCTTATATTCTGATGGCTCACTCATCAAGTGAATCCTTGGCTTACACAGAGTTCTGCAGATGTACCTTATTTACAATGTACAATGCCTTTTTATGTTCCTAGAAAGGCTTATGTATTGACTTATCTGTGTTTAGCACTGATTTATTAACATGCTTTAGAATGCATCCATGGCAACATGGTGAAATCTGACACAATGGAATCCTTGTTCCAGCTGTAGATAGGAGTTAAAACTAGCAAATTCACTTTAAGCTATGACTTTGACATGAAATGAAAGTTGCATATATGTCAATGTGATGTGATGATATTTTATTGATATTGCTTCAGTTTTCTATTTTGAATGTTATTTCTGAGCCCTTTCCTCTGTGATTGTAGCACTACAATCATTATAAGCTAATCAATAAAACTACACGTGAAAAAGATGTATGTACACTGAGCAAATGTCAGTTTACAACTGTGATGTGTTCATTTTGTGAAGAAATGTGAATAATGTTAAAGGTCACTGCAGATTTTTTCAAAGCACCTGACAATTTTGAGATTTTGGGGGTTTTCATTGTGTATTTTGAGTACAGTAAAGAACTAAAATACACTTTTTAGATTTTTGTTTTGTAACAGCATATCAGTGAAAGTCTGTAGATTTAAAATAAATTAATTTTTGTTTCTCTCCTACATTGCTCCTCTCAATGGCCACTCAAAATCCTGGCACATTCTAAAACACTTAATGTGAAAAAAAGCTTAACATGGCTTAATGTACCTAAACATCAACCAGAGTAACCCACATTTTGTCAAACTTTACTTGCAATTAACCTTAACTACTGTAAAAAGAGCGAGCCCCAATTCCATAGATAAAGTGAAAAATATCACATTAAACGTTTTCTCCCCCATTGTCTATTATAAGGAAAAAGCTTAACGTGGCTTAAAGTACCTTAACAATAAGCGGGGAAAATACAATTTCTATCAGATTTACTTGTGATTAACTCTAACCTTGATTTTATAAACAGCTTTTTTAACATTTGGTTTCCCTCGGTTGTTGTAAAGTTACGTTAAGCCTTTTCTTATTATGAACTTTAATGTGAGAGAACACTTAACGTGATATTGTTCACTTTATCTATGGAATTAGGGCCCACTCTTTTGACAAAAGTTATTGGTATCATAAGTCAAGTTTGACAGAATATTTGGGGTTCCCTGGTCGGTGTTAAGGTGAATTAAGCTGTTTCCTTATAATGGACTTAAAATGCATAACAGTAAAATTTTTACTTACTAAAATCAGAGTTCATTCTTTTGACATCACAAAGTGTTTGTCATGAGTAAAATTTGATAGAAATTGTATTTTCCCCACTTGTTGTTAAGGTACTTTAGGTCAGAATAAGCTTTTTCCTTTTAATAAACTTTAATGGGGAAGAAAACGCTTAATGTGATGTTTTTCACTTTAACTGTGGAATTGGGGCTCCCTCTTTTTACAGTAGTTGAGGTTAATTGCAAGTAAAGATTGACAAAAATTTGGGTTTCTATGGTTGATGTTTATTTCCCAGAGAGGATTTGCAGCTGGAAGGGCATCCACTGCGTAAAACATATGCTGGATAAGTTGGCGGTTCATTGCGCTGCAGCAACCCCAGATTAATAAAGGACTAAGCCGAAAAGAAAATGAATGAAAAGTTAATGTTTAGGTACATTAAGCCATGTTAAGTTTTTTTTCACTTTAACTGTTTTAGAATGTGCCAGAATCTTCAACCCGTGGCACTTAAACTCACTAAGCTTAATTTATTTATTTTATGTTACACATTATTATTCTGAAGCTATATGTCCAAACATAACTTGCCTATTTTTAAACATTTTATTCTTTGTCTGAGCACAACACGGTGGCATAGTAAATAGCACTGTAACCTCACAGCAAAAAGGTCGCTGATTCGAGCCTCAGGTGGATCAGCTGGCATTTTTGTGTGGATTTTGCATGTTTTCTCCGTGTTGGCATGGGTTTCCTCTGGGTGCTTCGGTTTCCCCCACTGTAGTGTATGTGTATGAATGCAAGGGTGTATGGATGTCTCCCAGTACTGGGTTGCAGCTGGAAGGGTTTCCTCTGCGTGATAACATATGCTGGATAAGTTGGCAGTTCATTCCACTGTGGTAACCCCTGTTTAATAAAGGGACTAAGCAGAAATGAAAATGAATGAGTTTTTTTTAGTTTCTGAGAAACAAACAAAAATTTCCATATTTCATAAAATAATGCCTATCTTGCATATTTGAACATAACATTAAGAAAACTTGAAATAAACTGCATTTTGTTTTGTTTTGTTTTTCCCTTTTCATCTTCAGTGTCTTGTCCGTAGGGTATTTATCAAGCCAACCATGGTTTTTTATTGACAGTGGTCACCTTTTTTTTGTTGAGCCACACCCATTGTTTAGTTGCGTGGGTGTGTGCGTATGAGTGAAAGTAAAATGCAAATCAGGTATGGTGAGGCAAACAAGAGTAAACCCATACCTAGCACTGACAGAAAAAAGCACAAAAATATTGCCTATTTGTGTTGCTGCTTTTTTAACACCTTAAAGGCACTTGCAACACACCACTGTAGGTCTGGGCAAACACTTTTTTTATTATTCTGCCAGAGTTTCTTTTTCATTAATGTTTCCTCTACTAGAATGCCACCTGCTGTTGATTGTTTGAAATAGCATTACCAGTACTGGCTAATCCTGGCACGAGAAACTTTTCCCACCGCCTGACTTTTATGGTGGTCTCTATTCTAGCTCTCCAGTTGTCATGGTAATGCTGTTCCAGTCAAGAACTATTTACCCTTAAAAGGCACTTTCATTTGAATCGCTCTAAATATCAAACTACTGTACAACTTAACGGAGTGAAAACACCTCTGTACCATTGCAAGAGATAGTTCTCCCGCTAAATTTATTTGACTTCTGACAACATTTAGAGCCCCTCTAATGTTGTACCCAACCTATGACTGTGAAAACAAAAAAATAAATACTTTTTATTAATATCATAATCTTAAATAAATTTAAAAAGCAACATTAATTATACTATTGAACAAAGAGTGAGGATGTGATATTTATGAAGGTGAATGAATTAAGTTTTTTTGGTGCAACTACAATTTTATTTATTTTAATTGTATTTCTTATGAAAAAAAAAATCAGTCTTTGCAGCAAGCTAAATGTTGTTATGCTGATGTTAACTAAGGATAGAAAACCGAGCATATCTTTTTAAAGCGATTCTTGTCAAAGTAATACATTTAAAGTTTTTCTCACTACACAAATGATGTGAAATTAAAGCAAGCCTTACAGTGCAAAAACATGTATACTACAATACAACACAATTAAGAAAATCTATAAACAAACCAGGGTATGGTTAGGCCTTATCTGCAAAACAGACAATAATAAGTGCAGTTAACAAATCAAGTGCAACTAACAACAATAACAAAAATAAATAAATAAAAACTAGGATAAAAACAAAAATCTTCACTGACTCTTACTGAAGTGTGAAGACAACTATTGCACAAGAAAACTGCACACCAGACCTGATATTACCCACTATGAAACAGTGCTGAGTGCAAATACAAAAAGAAAATTGATTGAATAAACAGTGTTTATGCACACTCAAATTTGTGTGTTAAATAAAATACGTGATAATTTACTGTCAACATATTGGTGCATTTTATGAATTAACTGCCTGCTTCTATTATTAATTAGGTTTTCTTTTTGGAATTTCAAATTACAATTTATTTTTGTTATTTTACATAAAATATATTTGAATTTTACAAAGAAATGTGCCACATTTGAGAAATTTTATGCTCAACACTGTCAGCGGTTTATGGTGAAAGTCCTCAAATAACAATCTCGTACTTGCAATGTCACTCAGATCTTTGTTCCTGACCATTTTGTCAAGCATTGAACAAGCAATGAATCACTGTCTCACTGTCTAATCGATCCAACCCAGGCTCATTCTAAAAACGTACCTCTATATACAATTCTGGAAAGCGCCAGAGACATTTATTTATTTATTTTTTTGCAGTTTTTGTTTTCACGAATCCACCAGAGGCCGCTGTGTACACTTTTTTTAGATCTCAAATTTCTCTTGCGTACCATTTGCGCCTGCTCTTCTATCGTAAATTCACCAGAGGCCACTGTCGACTGACTGTTTGACTGACTGACTGACTGTCTGACTGACTGACTGACTGACTGACTAATCGACTGACCCACCCTCCTCTTTCCCTAAATCCAACCGATAGTATTTTCAGAAGCACTGATTGACCCATTTATCTGTGACTGATCATAGTGTTTTGGATCATCATTGTTAATCAGTATTAATACGAGTCATGTTAATTATGGTTCAATTTACTTAAGTCTACATATATAGACCAATAAAATGTATATATAGAGACATCAAAACTTTCATTTATTCATTCATTCATTCATTTTCTTTTAAGCTTAGTGCCTTTACTTCAAATTCCATAAAATATTCTTTAAACTGGAAGTGTTCCACAAATCATTAAATTATTCTTAGTTTACAGTAAGAAATGTTTATTTTTAAGAATTGTTGACAAAAGGTTCTTTGTGGAACTAAAAGCCGTTCTTCTGTGGCATTAGTTGCAAAAACCCTCATTTGCAACCTTTACTTTTAAAAAACGTACAATATTTAACATTGTATTTTAATCTACATATAATATGGACTGTTTCTCTATGAATACATCAGAGTAAAGACTATTTTGTTTTTTGCCTATTGTCTAGGGCAGCAACTAGATCTCAGAGATTAGATCCACTTATTTTCATTAATTAATTCATTCATTTACTTTTCACTAAGTCCCTTTAATTATCCGGGGTTGCCACAGCGGAATGAACCGCCAACTTATTCAGCACATTTTCTACACAGCATATGCCCTTCCAGCCGCAACCCATCTCTGCGAAACATCCACAAACACTCATACATTACGGACATTTTAGCTTACCTAATTCCCCTGTACCACATGTCTTTGGACTGTGAAGGAAAAAGAAGCACCCGGAGGAAACCCACACGAAAAAGAGTGAGTAATGCCATGGATTCAGCTGTCAGAGAAAACAGACAATGGCAAACATATTCAATAAATATCCAATAAGTCCTTTTGGATTAAAGCCAAAGTTATAAATACAGTGTTTTGTTCATTTGTTTCTGTAGTAAAGGTGCTTTCATTCACCAAATAAATCAAGAGTATCTGGTATCTTATTTGTTGTTGTTTTTGTTTTCCCCCAACAAGAAGTAACCTTTAAACCACAGAAAAACAATGTGAACATAAACAGCAAAACCTTATGTCTTATGTCACACATGTATATTTTTGACAGTACCAAAAATAGTCAAAAGTATAATGTTTTAATGGCAATAAATCTTCTGAATATGAACTTAATTTAGACATATTTAAACGTCAATTTTTTACACATTTTAACCCTCAGATTCCACATCTTTCATTCCACAAAAGTTGTATCTTAGTCCTACCCAAACATTGTCATATCCTAATAAACCTCACATCAAATGAAAGTTTATTTATTCTATAGTTTTCTCATACACAAATCTTAATAAAAAATAAATAAATAAAAAAAAGTCTTATGACTGGTTTTGTAGTCCGAGGTCACATACTCATTCAAATCTAAACAATGTAGTTCACCTAATTTCCAAAAGGAGGCACTACAACATA